CCCCAAAACCCCAAAACCCCAAAACCCCAAAACCCCTGAATTTATTTTTAAAGTTGAATAATTAAATTTAGCTTAAAAATGATTATCTACAATATGGCCAAGACCATATTTCTCAAAGATCGCATTAAAATAGTCTTTTGCTGTTAAATCCAAAATCTCTACTTCTCTAAGAGACTCTTTAAGGTCACAGACAGAAATTCCTTTTATCAAATTCTCCATCGTTTCTGAATATTTGCTCAACTCATAATTTTCATCTCAAAATCAAAGCCAAATTTTCTTAATAAGTGTTCCTTTCATTCACTTGCTCAGGTCAGGCACTCTCGGAATGCTAAATCTGCACTGATAAAAGGTTACTTGCTCTTGATGTCTACACCCCATGAGGAACTTTTTAAACTGGGTTTCATTTAAGTTAAACCCCCAAAGCCAGACTGACTTCTGGACACGAGCTCATGTCTTAATAATTTGTGGCAAATAGAGACCAATCTTCGTTGGCTCCAAGGATGCAAGTGTCAGATCATCCAAACCGTTACAAGGTGAGAAATAGGCTACAGATTTATGGAATGACTTCATGAATTTAGAATCAGTTTTGACAGTGAAACTTTCGAAGCCAGGAAGAGCGACCTTTCGTACCTTTTTGATGTATACACAATCTTCAGGATTTCTATGATCAGCCTCCAGCGAAAGACCTGGCTTTTGGGGGAAATAATGCCAATAACTAGCATTCTGGCTATGGATATTTTCATTTGAGTTTTGATAAATTTTCTGACTGAGTCCATTGCAGCTCAACCTGTAAAGAGTCTCGAAAGTGTGATATAAGTTTAAACCGGCAGCTTCTTGGCTTCATTGGGAGGTTGAGTAACAGAAATTTAAATCTTTTGCGGCTGCTATATTTGAATCAATGTATTTAGAGTTTGAGAAATATATGAGACAAAATGAACCAGTTTTGTGCTTTTATTCAACAAAATTATGGCAAAACTTCTTTTTTGGGTATAGTAAAAGGCTATCCTTTTAGATATGAGTAGTTTAAAACATTTTCATAATCAAAAAGAGAAATCTAAAATAAAAGAAGTTCTTCTAAACCTTAAATGAACCAGAATAAATGTTGATATTATGTGAAGCATAAGCAAAAGAGGAAGCATAAAAAATCAGTATAAGTCACGGAGTTGTCAAAATTGCAATAAGTCAAAGATCAAGAAAGTTCAAATTCTGAAACCTAGATTTTTAGAACCTTACTCAGTTGACCTTCTTGCTTCCCATCCCTTTCCTTATAGTACTCCTTTGGAGTAACCTTCTTTGTTTGCTGACCCTCAGTAACTTCGTTTATAACGCTTAGTTTCTGTTCGAGTTCATTAACTTGTGATCGGATATGGTTGAATGCATTCTTAATGTTTGTATCTTCTTTATATTCCCATCTACACTGTATCCAGAATTGGTTCATTTTGAAAGCAGAAGTAATTTGATAAATTAGCCTAGAGATTTGGTGCAAGCTGAGAGGATAGGAGTCAGAACGGATTGATTGATACTTCTCAACAATGGTCTGACACTTTCTCACAATAGTATATAACTCCTCTAATGTCTTCTTTCATTTGTCATTCGGGTCATAATAATAGAACAATTGATATTCAGGGGCTAAGTCTTTTCCTAAATCCTTACTTTGACTAAATTTGTTCTTGAGGAGTCTCTTTGGGCGTGGATGTACTTCCAATTCAACTTCTGGTGATTTCTTAGTGCAATTTCAGCTTCCCATGTTTAATTAAATTATTTGGTTTCTTTATTAATCGCTTCATGCGGGGTTTTGGGGTTTTGGGGTTTTGGGG